GCCCCAAAGACTCAAATGCCCTTTGAACCCCACATCTGGGGTGAGACTACTTGTTTGGTTTCTTTGGGCATTGGAACAATGGGCATGGACCTTGATTGGTACCCTCAATATTCCTGCACACTGGACCAGACTGTGAAGCTAGGCTGGCTTTGTTCCATTGAGAGAACACAGACTATGGGATGGAGACATTGGCAGGTCTGTTCATAACAGCCCCTGACAGAAAGGAACAGGCTTGGTCCTCAGAAGGGTTTCACCCAGCCTGGATGCAGACACAGGATTTATGTATATTGAAGAGATTTCGGATTAAGGCTGAGCTCTCTGCTGTGGAAAGTCACTGGAGGTCTTTCCTGGATCAGGGTGTGTTATAAGGAGGAATGCATGTCAAGCCAGCCCCCACAGTGACCTCAGGGAAATGTGAGGCTCCTTGGATTGCAGCCCCAATGTAGAGAGCAGCTTGGGAGGCTGTGTCACAGGGTGGCTTGTCTGTGGGACAGGTGGAAATGAGCTGGTTTATTAGGCTCCATGTGTGTTGATTAAGTTGTGGTGCTTCAGAGCACTGTGTCTCTTATCTTAGTGCAACCAGAGCTGTGTGTCTGGTCCCAGAGTGTGAGAGCAAACCATGGCTGTGGTTGGGAATGGTGCCACCAATCACAGCTGAGAACTCAGGCAGGCAGCCTGGCTAGGAAGGTGCCAAGAACACTTTGAAGTCCACGGGGAAGCCTGCAGGGCATGTAGGGCAGTGCCAGAGACCATGTCTGGGCAGCAGTTTGTGTGGCCATAGAGCTGACAGAGCAATGGGAATCTGAAGGGGAGAAGGCAGCACCCACAGGGTCTCACCCCAGAGAGAACATCCACCTCACATGGGAAAAAACTGGGATCTTGAGGAAGGGGAGGAAGGACCTGAAATCTGCAGTGGAAGCTGGAGAAGGCCACAGAAAGGCAGATGTTGCAGCCTTTGAATCTTCTCCGACTCGTTCCATCTACTGCTCTGTTCTACTTCCCACCACGTGTTCTTCTTGTCTAAGACCATGAGGTGTGTCTCCGCCATGACAACACCCTTTCCTAGTCTCCATTTTAAAAGCAAAAGTGCCACAGTGGCCCCCAATTCATCACTGTTGGTTCTACCCTCTCTCTAACCTGGTCTCTGGCCATCTTCCTCTCCCTGTCCTGCCATCTGCTCCATCTCCCCTGCCCTCCAGCCTGTTCTTGGCACAGCCAGGCTCCCTCTGCCCCTTCCAGCCCCCACTGAGTGTTCCTCCCACTTGGAGTCCTCCTCCACTTCCTCATTCATGGCTCATTCCCATTCACTCCCCTCCGTTGTGGGTTTAAATGTCCCCTTTGTGTAGTTGACTCAGACAATTGAATCTACAACCCCTCATACCCATAGTTGCTGTAATAATATACAATTAAATAATCAGGAGACAGGAGCACACAGTAGATTGAGCAGAGATAGTGAATACAATGAACACTGAACAACAACACAGTGTAAGGAGGGCTAGAGACACTAGCTGAGGGTTACAGGAGATCAGTGGGGAAGGTATTACAGTTGGGAACCTTGTCCAAATCACTTGTCAGTTCTGATTTTGTTTTTAGACTTACTGGATCCAGAGTGTGTTACTGGAAACAGAGAAAAAAGGGACACAGGCACCAAAAGTGGGATCTATGATCACTATGACTGGCACTGTGTTCAAAAACCTGTAAGAGGACCAATTTGGTTGGTCGTTGGCCACTTCAACAATAGACTATCTCTTGTACTGACCCACTTATGCTTCAAACTGAGTTTATGCTATAGGTGAGCACTCAGACTTATGGAAACGTACCTCGTAAATAATTAATGAGGAACTGGAGAGTTATCTCACTGGTTAAGAACTCATATAGCTCTTGTAGATTACCTGGGTTCCATTTACAGTACATATAGTGTAGCTCACAACAGTCTGTAACTCCAGTTCCAGGGTAATCAGACGCCTTTCTCTGACCTCCTCCTTTACCAGGCAACCATGAAGAGCACATACATATATGCAGGAAAAAGACTTATACACATAAAATAAATGAATCTAAAAATGAGTAAGATAATCCCATTTAGGGAAACCATCTCTAGCACATGTAATGTAGGTCATCTCTAGGTATTGATTATTCATATCAGATGATTCCCCAGGAGTTTTAGATGCATCTTGTTCTAGCTGATTTGATGACAACTCAACACAAGCTGGAGTCATTTGGGAAGAGGGAACCTCAACCAGGAAAATACCCCCACCAGACTGGCCTATAGAAAAGCCTGTTGTGTATTTTCTTAATTGGTGGTTGATGTAGGAGTGTACAACTCAATGTGTTCAAGGACAACTGGGCAGGTGGTGGTGCCATAAGAAAGCAGACTGAGCAAGCCACAAGGAACAAGCCAGTAAGCAGCCCTCCTACGTGGCCTCAGCATCATTTTGTACCTCCAGGTTCCTGACTTGAGTTCCTGCCCTGCCCTCTCTGGATGATGGATTATGAATTGTAAACTTAAACAAGCCCTCTCTTGCCCAAGTTGCTTTTGACATGATGTTTTACCACATCCATAGAACCTAACTAAGACACATCTCAGTCCAGCCAGTTCCCCTTCTGCATGGTGCTGTTGGAGGTGCTATCAAAAGCTTTCTGCTAATGCTGGGTAAAGCCCAGACTCTGTCCTTTGCAGGGAGGTTCCTAGGAATTAGCAGGACAGAGAATTTTCAAAGATGAAAATTCAAGGGTAGTAAGGGGCACAACTTGAAGTAATGAAGGCTGGAGCTGTGGAACTGGGGATCCCTGCAGGAACTGCCACCAGAAAGAAAGGGGAGGCCTGAAAAGAGATGCCTTAGGCCATGGGAACAACACAGGCCAGGATACCTCTCCCTTCTGTCCTACCATCTCCTAGGGTCTACCCATGACTGATCACAAACACCTGTTGACTCCTGAGAGCATCGAGCATGAGTAGACCTCAACTTCCTGTCCTGCCTCTTGTCCTCCCAGGATTGCCAACAACCCCTGCCCTTCCACCTCCTGATGGTGTCTTTTATCGCTTTAACTTGACAGATGCCTGTGAGCATAGCTAGAGATCTTGGTAGAATTCAGTCTACTGGGACTAGGTAGGTAGATAGACAATGGAAAGCAACTGTAGAGTGCAGGAGCTGCCTTTCATACTGCACATAAGACTTATGGGGGCAGACATCATCTGTCTATCATCTGCATGTGGCTCTCATGGTTTTTCTTTTTTCTTTTTGGTTTTTCAAGACAGGGTTTCTCTGTGTAGCTTTGTGCCTTTCCTGTAATTCACTTGGTAGTCCAGACTGGCCTTGAACTCACAGAGATCCCCCTGGCTCTGCCTCCCAAGTGCTGGGATTAAAGGCATGTGCCACACCATTCCCATAAGTACCAATATCAGTGATTCAAACAGTGGTGTGGTAGGTATCTATGGTGCAGTCCGCAGGACAAAGTACACACAGTTTTTGGCACCCTGAGTGAAGAGACTCCAGGCTGCTCACTAATCTTTGGTCTTAAAGAGCTCTGGCCCCACCCTCTCACACCCAGAATGTCAGCAGGGTACAGGACTGGATTATGGCAGTTCTTCAGCACAGCCCAGGACTTGTTACAGAGTGCTCATTAGTATTGTTTAGAGAGTCTTGAAGCTGTCCAGGCTTTATCTACAGAGACACAAAGGCACCTTTGTAGGACTAGAACCTTTCTCTAGAGCTCAGGTCAGATGGGACTCAGGACATCAAGATGGAGAGGGACAAAAAAGAGTTCCTGCTGGAGAAGGATCTGGGCTGAGGTCAGAAGATAAGTTGGCCAAGGCAACTCAGTTGTGGGTTCTGGGTTCATGTAGGTCTCTGGCCTCCATTGTTTCTTTTGCTTCCCCATTCAAAGAAAATTGGACTCATGGTCTCCTTGCTGGCTTGTCAGTTGTCAAATTGACAAGGTAGGGAAAACCTTTGGTAGATCAGGGGATCTAGTGTTCTAAGATAATTGTACAACTGTGGGTTCACAACAGGCTTTGATGGATCTCATGGGTTTCACATCAGGCCATAAGGTGTGGAAGGAGCTCAAGTTGTGACAATGAGGCCCAGGAGTTCCATGTCCTATAGGTTCTGAGATGATCAACACAGCAGAAGACCCTAGCACCCTTGCTGGAGATGAAACCCTGAACTACAGCGAGGAAACTTCCCTTTAGTGGGCACAGATTAGAGATTGCTTTATAGCTAGAGCCTCTCTAGCTTCTGAACTAAAGTCTGAAGCACAGAAGGCAAGGCCCTGCTCTTCAAGAGCTTGGGATATAATTGAGTAGACAGATAGGTGATAGTTACAGCTGAGAAAGGAGAGGGATGAGACATGGTGGAGTAAGAAGTGCTGTAAGACAACACAGCTGCCTGGAGTATAGAGGGAAGTCATTCAGATGACTGTGGTCTCTACCGGTCCCATGTGGCCCCTCCCTCTTAGAGCAGTCAAGGTTCAGGAGCTCCTGAACAGTCTGGTAGATCCTGACACATCCAATGTTTCCCTGCTCACCCAGTAGCAGAAGGCAATGGGATGGGCCTAGTGTGCAGCTTGTGCCCAGGGCACTGGCAGGATTGTGTGTGGTAAATAGCTCAGTCCTTTTCTCAGCTTCAGTGGGAGAGAAGCCAGCTTCTAGATAAGATGGCCAAAGAAGCTAGGGATGGCTGGAGAGGGAGTACAGGTGTGGAGAAGGAGTAGGAGGAAGCCAGGTCCCTCCTTTCCTGGCTGCCTCTTCTCTATTCTTGTCCCAGAGTCATTTAAAAACTATAATGGGTTCTGTGTCTGTGGTACCCTTGGATGGTGCCTACATTGCAGGGCATTGTGTCTTTTCTTTGTGTTTGCCACAGAATGATCACCAGATCTCAATAACAATAACAACAGCCTCCATCCCCATGATGGACATGGATTTGGCTAGGAGGGGTGTGGTCAGTGTCATTTGTGGCAATAAAGGCCACTCTCCAAGGAGCCAGCACAGCTTTCACATTTTGTCACCTGTGTGACCTGCCTTGTCTAGAGGACAGAGCCGAAGATGCAGAGCCTGCTCCTGACTGTCACGCTGTTTGTCCTGGTGGCTGTCCTTCAGGCCCAGGATGATCTGCCCTTCCTCTCAGAAGACAAGAACGTGAGAGAGATGGTGGACAGGGGTGGGGGAATGCTTGACTGCTGGCCAGTGCCTGAGGACTGGAGCTAGCACTCATGGGCTATGAAGTCCTCTGAGTCTGGCCTCTGACACTGCACCTTGGCCTGGAGTCTTACCTGCTCTCTACTGCCCTGCTGTCTCTACTGATGTTCCACCTGCAGACAAATGCCCTCTTGGACCACAGAGCTGGAACATGGAAGGGTCCTAGTTTTAGTGACCCCAAGAACCTGAATGTTTCTCAGGGGTGGACCTTCATGCCCTGTCCTAGACCTAAAGACTTTGGGGGATTTGGGAACAGACACTTCCTGTCTAACTGGAACACAGGTTTTCAGGCAAACTTTAAGGAACACAGGACTGGGGAGTGGGCCAAACCATGTCAGGGCCTTCAGCCTGTGCTCTGTAATGTTTCCCAGGCCCCTGCCCATGTGCTGGAGCTAGGAAGAGAACTTGGCTTGGACTGAGGTGTATAGGGTGTACAGGGCTCTGTTTGTTATAGTTCTCAGGGACATGGTACTTGAAGGCCACAGTGAAGGACCTGAACAGCACAGAGTGGAAGAACCCGAAGGAAGAATTCCCTTTTGTAGTGAGAGCCCTGGAGAATGGAAACATGGAGGTCATGGCTGTTTCCATGTGAGTGCTACCACTATGAATCTTCCCAGCTTTCTCTTCCCTTTTCAACTATTCTTTGAGTGTTGATGACAAGCAGGTTCATTCTTTGAGGGGACACCCTCCCAGCAACCACCCAAAACCACAGCTGCTGTTCACATGGGGTTTGGAGGTCGACGATTCACCATGCAAGCCGAGCAGAGCCCAGGTGTGGGCTCCGAAACAGGCTGCTCATGCGCTTCCTGCTTTCCAGGTATAATGGTGAGTGCCTGCAGATTGACATCCTGTTGGAGAAAACAGAGAAGCCTGGCCAGTACAGTGCCTGTGAGTCTGTCTGAATTTCTTCCCCCATTGCAGCGATAAATTCTCTGTCCCAAAGGATTAGGGGAAGGGTGTTTCTTTAAGGTCACTGTTCAATGTACAGTCCATCCTAGTGGAGAATTCAAGGCAGCTGGTACTTGACAGCTAGTTATATTACATCTATAGCCAGAAGAAGGGGATGAGGGATGTATGCATTCAGGTGCTCAGCTGGCTTTCTCTGTTTTACTCCGTCTATAGTCTGATGCCCAGTGGACAGTCCCATCACAATTAAGATGGGTCTTTCCACTTCAATGTTCATAATCAAGATGATGCACATGTGGCACAGCCAAAGGCACATCTCCCAGGAGATTTTTACTTGTCAAGTGGATGTTTAACCTGAACTGTCACAGTCTCCCAGGGTGCATGAGATCTTTCCTCCCAGAAACTAGCTCCTGGTGTTCGAGCATCCCTGACCTGCTTAGCTTCCATGAGAGGCTAGCCAGTTAACTTCTAGGAGACTTTAAAGGTCATAGGCTAGTCCACAGAAGAGACCATGTTTCCCTCTAGACAGTTCTGTGCCTTGGCCCATAGGGAAACAGAGGGTTAGGATCTAGGAAGAAGGGCAGCACAGCTGCTAACAGGTCAAACTCCAGCCTTCATCTTCCCTCCTGCCATTGGTCCAGACTCCATACCTGGGCATGACACCTTTCCAGGAGAGAACTTTGTTCCTGTGTTGAGACCATACCAAGTTCAGGCTCCATATGATTAGGAGTTCATGGGTCATTGCTAACGTCTTCTAGACCAATGGTTCTCAACCCGTGGGTTGTGAACCCTTTGGGGGTAACTATCAGATATCCTGTATATCAGATATTTACATTATGATTCCCAACAATAGTAAAATTACAGTTACAAAGCAGCAATGAAATAATTTTATGGTTGGGGTCACCACAACATGAGGAGCTGTATTAAAGGGTTACAGCATTAGGAAAGTGGAGAACCACTGCTCTAGACAGTTCCTTAGCATAGTCAGAATAATGTATCTGGAGCAAGACACTACAGACCCATTTTCTCTGTTCATCTACAGTTTGGGACACAAATCTCATGTACATCTATGAGCTGCCAGTGATGGACCACTACATCTTCTACAGTGAATGCCAGATCTTTGAGCAGAAAGTCTATGCGGGAGAGCTCATAGGTAGGACCCTGGGCACCTCATTTCCTGTGTGGTTTCCACTACCAGAAGCCATAGGATGTTCAGCAGCTACACCTTGGCACCAGAACGCTTAGCATGGTAGATCTGATGTGCATCTAGGTTCTGGACACCAGGTGCTGCCTGTGCAGATCTGAGAGAGAAGGGGCAACTGGACAGGGTCTTTCAGGAAAGAGGGCAGATATAGCCCTCAGGGCCCTGAATACATAGAATGGGAGTTCCAAGCAGTGAACTGCTAAGTCCCATTTCCTGGGGTCTCACATGTCATGAATGTCCGTTTGAAGGGTTGGGTCCTAACAGAGGCTTTTGGTTGGCAGTGTCCCTATAGACTTGAGAGACAGACTAGTGTCCCTGTGACTGAGGATCCTTCCAGGTCAGGATGTGATCCTGCACAGCCATTCAGGATGTATAACATCCACTTGTACCTGCCTGCAGGCTTTGTCCATCTCTTCCATTCATACCCTACCTCCCTGTCTTCCCTAAGTGCTCCCTTCTCTCCTGCCTGCACTTGGGCCAGGGTGGAGCCCCTAGTGATGGGCAGTGATCCTGTCTTTGTGCTAATGGATCCCTAAAGAGCTGTTCAGTCACAACCCTTGTGCTCCTCTGGCCTCTGTCCCCAGGGAAGGATCCCACAGAAAATCACGAGGCCCTAGAAGAGTTCAAGAAATTCGTACAGCAAAAGGGCTTTCCACCTGAAAATATCATTGTGCCTGAGCAGAGAGGTAAGCAGGTGACTTTGGAGATCACAAGCTAGGCATTGAAGAGACCATGCTTCCCTCTAGTTACATAGACCTGTCCATACCCTCCTCACGTCCTCCTGTGTCAGCCATTGTTCTAAGTGACCTTTGTGTTTATCTATGTCCTTGGTGTCTCTTTGTGTCACCATTTGTTCCTCACAAGGACAACAGGGTCATGCTTCAGGTCTTGGTCATAATGGTATCTAAGCTGCAGGTGTGACAGACTCTGTATCTTCACTAGTGTACTTCTTCAACCCTGGGTTTTTCTTTGTTTCTACAGATACGTGTTTCCCTAAAGATCACTTTGGTAAGTGACCCCTGGAAGAACCTTAGGACAGCTCAGACTCCTCAGTACTGGAGTTTTGTGGCCCATCTTTTGGACCCTTAAACAGATATGAGAGACCCTTCACATCTAGGTGTGAGTGGCCTTTCAAGGATGCGGCGCCAAGCAAAACCCCAGAACACTTGAGAATCTGTCCTTTTTTCATAGCATCCTTCCCATGTCATGGTCTCCATGTGGTCTCATCTCCCACCCAACACACTCCCTACAATCCTTAGCGACCTGCCTGGTAACCGTGGTAGGCTGTGCTTGAGGACCATGAGTGTCTGACAACGTCTCCACAGTATCTATGGCAAGGAAATTATCTGATTGGCATCTGTTTCCTTATTAATCCCACTCTGCTACCCCCAAACAGAAGGAGGGGCCCTCACCCCCTGTTCCTCTTCCTGTCACAGCTGCCCTTCAGAAGTGCAAACCCTAAGCCAATCCTGTACCAATGCATAGTAATGCCTTTCCTGGAGTACCCGTCTCCCTGTACCACATGGCACTGAGACACATCCTTCAAGACCATCTCACTGCCTGTCGGACCACACTCCTGCTAGGACCCTCTGTTTCACCCCAAACCCAAGTAAAGCCTTAAGCAGCCATTCTGGACTCAGTGTGTGCTTTGGAGTCTCCTGTAATCTCCGAGAAGCTCTATGATAAGGTTGAGGAGCTGTGGGACCTAGTAGGTTTCAGACCCCAAGAACCATGATATTCCTTAATCCTGTAGGATATAGGATATCCTAGAAGTTCATTCGATGGGACACCCCCCCACCCCCACACACATGGCTTCAGGAGGTGTTTGACTTTGTGGCAGGAGAATTTTGGGAAGCTACAGGGTTGGGCACAACTGGGGAGATGGGTATCACAGATGCAAATGTGTGCAGGTTCCTACAGGGCTCTTGTTCCAGTGGGGACTTAGGGGAATCATATGAGAGACCCAGTGGTGAGTGACCTGGCAGAAGGGGGAGGGGTTAAGAGTACTCTAAATCCTCCATCATCATCCTGCAAGCAAAACAGTACTATGTAGAGCCCCATTAGTCATTATTACTCACCTTGCCCACCATGCGGTTTATCCAGTGTACAAAGTCTGTGTGGACAGTGCTTCATGGGGATATGAGAGCCAAAGTGGGAGAGGAATGACCCTGTACCTTGACTGATAAATACAGGTCCAGAAACTTTCATCTCAATGGTACATAGATTCCTGGAGAATGAGCATATGGCATCGTCTTTCACTGAGATGCTGTTGCTTGTTCCCAACTCAGCAACTCTTCAGCTCCCACCCTCACATATTGTCCTTCCCTTGTCCCTCTCTGCCTGGATGTGATTATTGCTGAGGATCGTAGGTCATCCTGAAAGAAAGCAACCCCTTTCAAGTGCCTGCTGAAGCCTGAGATTGTTGGACATTGTTGAAGATGAAGGTTAGTCAGCATCGTACAAAACTAGTTATCACAGCACCCCCCTCTGCAGAAAATATGAATGAGTCAAAGGTCTTCATACAGCAGTGTAAGAAAATAACATCTGAACAATGACAATACCCATAGGCATACTTATGTGGAAGGGGCAACTCATGGGGTCCCACCCCTAGACAGAGAACTACAGGCAACTATTGACTGCTGGGAGAGGGAGAGTTAGTCTCTCCCTGGGATGAGTTCCCAATTGTGTTATCCATTACAAAAGCAATCAGCTCCACTGGGTGGTCGCGGCAGCGGCGGCAGGAGGCAGAGGCAGGTGGATTTCTGTGAGTTCAAGGCCAGCCTGGGCTACAGAGTAAGTTCTAGGACAGGCTCCAAAGCTACACAGAGAAACCCTGTCTTGAAAAACAAAACAAAACAAAACAAAACAAAACAAAACAAAACAAAAAGCAATCAGCTCCAAAATCATATACAGCAAAGCAACACCAACTAGACTCAGCAGTTGTATTTTATATATTTATGTAATCTTCACACATGTGTATGTAATGATAATAATCAAATAAAAGGAGCCCATCAGTTTGAGAGGGTATGGGGGTGTGTTGGAGGGGTTAATGGAGGCAAGGGAAAGAGGAACTGATATAATATTTTATTTAATTTAAATATTAAATATTTCATCAATGTCATGAGAGTGAAGAAAGTTATGGAGCACTGAAGCAATGGGACAGAAATCTGAGTTGCAAAGTCCAAATTTGTGAGAAACAGCACACATCTATAGAAATCATTATTAATATTGGTGTTAGTGGTCATATTCTACACTTGAGTTTTTGTTTGGATACTTTTTTTTTTCAAGACAGGGTTCTCTGTGAAACAGTCCTGGCTGTCCTGGAACTCACTCTGTAGACCAGGCTGGCCTCATTCTCACAGAAATCCACCTGCCTGTGCCTCCCGAGTGCTGGGATTAAAGGTGTGCGCCACCACCGCTTGGCTGGATACTTTTCCATATAAATTTTAATGTGCTGTTGACCCAGGTACACACTGAATACATATACAGTTATGTTGGCCAAATCTTTTCTGTGCTGTCCTTTATGGACATGCCCTCCACACTCCTTAAACTACTAAACTTTTCTGCCCGAGTTTGCCTGTTGAGTTTTGAACAGGGTGAGATGAAGACCCAGTGTCCTTCAGTACATGTGGACATTAACTGCCCAGCACCACGTTTTGAAGTGGCTGTCTTTCCTCCAATGCAGGTCTTTGGCATCTTTGTAAAAAGTCACAGGGCTGTCGGTCGTGGTGTGGGTCTGTTTTGCTCTGCCAGCAGCAAGATGTTTTGTTAGTGTGGAATAACATGAAATCAGGATCTGTGGTATAACCTGAAACCCAATCTGGTGATAGCACCAGCATTGTCCGTGTCGGTCAGGATCGCTTTGGCTATTTGGTTTGCACATAAGGTTTAGAATTGCATTTTCTCTTTCTGTGAGGAATGGAATCTGTAGATTGCTTTGATAATACAGCCAGTATCCCAGTATTGATTCTGCCAATTCATACACAAGGAAGCTCTCCACAGTCCATTTCTTCTTCAATTTTCCCCTCTGTGTTTCCAAATATTCATTATTTCAATCTTTACTCCACAGAAAATTTCATTTTTGAGGCCTTTAACTCCTTCCTTGGATTATTCCAAGTTATTTTATTTATCATTTGGAAACTAATGCTAATTGGAGCATTTTCTTGATTTCTTTCTCCATATGACCCCTAATGGTATGTGGGAAAGCTGCTGGTTTTTATAAGTTGGTTTTGTAACCTGATGCTTTTGTGAAAGTGTTTACTAGTTCTTAGACTTTCCTTAGGGAGTCTCTGAAGCCTCTTACGTACATGATCACATCAGCAGCCACTGCTATTATTTTGACTTCTTCCTTTCCTATTTGTATCTCTTTTATTTCTTGCTCTTGTCATATTACCCTAGATAATACTATAAGGTATCATTCAGTAGGATAGAAGAAAGAGGACAGCCCTGTCCCTGCTGACTTCAGTGACATTGCTTTGATGTGTCTCCACTTAGGATGATGCTGGCTGTGTTAATTCACTCCTCCCAGGTACAGTTCCTTCAGAGCTATGATCATGAAGGATGGTTGACCTTTCTCAAAGGGCTTCTCTCCATCTCAGAGAAGTACCAGCATTAAGAAGGCATTCATGATACTCTTTTCGAAAAAATTGATTTTATTTTATTTTTTCTTAATGCTGGTACTTGTACACATGCCATTTCTGTCCCTAAATACTTAAGCATGATGTATCCCATTTATTGCTTTTTATATATTGGACCAGATGGATAGTAGCAAAATATATTGATAGGTTGTTAATGCTTTGTCTAAATGTAACTGACAGTTTTTTGCCTCCATGTTGATCAGGAAGATCAGCCTATAATTTCCTTGCTTGTGTATGTCAGGACAATAGGAGCTTCGCTGAAGAGTTTGGTAGCATTCCCCCTTTTTGCTTTCTGGAGTGGATTCAGGAGCATTATTTTTATTTTTGGGACAATTTGGCAGTGAACACATGTGGCCCAGGCTTGCTCCAGTTAGAACACATTTTATTGCTGTTTAATCTCACTGCTTGTTGTGGAACTCTTCATGTTGTCCGTATTCTCTTGTCAATTTTTAGTGGATCATAGTATAGAACACTATTCATTTCTTTGTACTTTCCAACTTATTTGAGTATAAGTTTTTAAGGTATATCATCAAGACCCTGAGTTTCATGAGTTATCAATATGTCTTCTCTTTCATCTATTGTTTTAATTTTAGTTTTTCTTTTGCTTAATTTTACTAAAGGTTGACATTCATGATACTCTTTTCAATAAAATCAATTTTTATTTTATTTTATTTTATTTAGTTCTGTGGGAACTTGGAGCAGATCTTGTTTGCATCTTGTTGCATCAGGAAGTTGAGTGCTTAGGGCAGACCCAGAGGCGGATTCCACTGACATCCATGTCTTCTAGTGAGGCCATAGCGGCAAAGGTTCCACATCTCCTAAAACAAGAGTCTCCAGAAATGACCAGATCCTATGTGCAACATTTCATATTCCAACCATAACATCCAAGAAACTAACATATAATTTGCACATGTAAACACATAAACACATCCCACAGCTACACAGACACACATGCACATTCAATACACACAGGCACACACAGTTACACCTGTGCACAGCAGCAGGACAATGTATTTGCACAGTGGCATGGCACAGAAAGAAGTGAGAAGTGGGGACCCTCAGGGGACTTTGGACAGGGGCCTGACTCCCAAACACTCATGGAGCCTGGAAAGAGTGAAGGCATATGGAAGGGTGGTTTGGGATTCAGGTGCATTGTAGGCCCAGCTGCTAGCTTGGTAGAGATCAGCTGTGAGGGTCTGGAGAGTCAGGGAGGTGTGCTGCACTCTCATGGGGATGGGGAGCAGGAGGAAAGACAGGACACAGGGGCCATTTTGCTGAAGGGTGACACCATAGCTCAGTTCTCAAGGGGCTGTGGCTGCAGAACACATCCCTGTGTCCAGCACTGCCGTGTGGAAAAAGGTTGGTGACTGCTCTCGGAACTGGAGGTCCTGAGAGGGAAGAGAAAGTGTTGTGACATATTTTGGTCAGAACACAGCCATGCATGGAGATGGTGGGAACACAGGAGCCCTTGTTATCCCCCTGGATCTGGGTTCTCAGGTGTCACTTCCCACTCTGATGACATTCTTGCTCCTGACAAGGCTTCCTGAGAATGAGTGAAAGCACAGGCAGGTGACTAATTACAGAAATTAGCACCCTGTATTCATGAGGTCCAAACAAAACAGTGCAACCAGACTATAGCATGGATGGGGGCTTTGTGCAGGTGGAGTGTCACCCAGGGCAGGATATAAATGCTGCAGGGAGGCCAGGAGCACAGAGGCACCATTGTGACCATGCAGTTGCTCCTGCTGACTGGGGCTCTGACCCTGTCCTTTGCAGAACAGTCATCCCACAGGCATCCTCAATATGTAGCCACTGAAGATGAGGTGAGAGTGCTGAGCAGATTGATTGTGTGAACCAGGTTTGCATGTTTAGGATGAGAGTCTCAGGGCTGCTGCTGAGAGCTGCAGATGGGCATCACTGAGACGCCCTGTGTCATGACGCAGTGTCTGTCTTCCTGCATGGCTTTTCTTGATATCTCACACTGGGGACACACAGGGGCCAAGTGATCGTTTATGGAGGCATCTGTCTCCTCAGTCTGCCACAGAGACCCACTGCTTCCTCTGTCAGCCTGCAGTCTTCCAAAAGCCTTCTAGATATTCCACAGAAATGACTCTTTTCAGAGTTTCTATTTCTCAGTGAAAGCCTCATGCAGGATGATGTGCACAGTGCAGAGCTGCTGTTTGCAGAGAACTGAGCACTGCTGGGTATGGGGAGGTCTGGATGGAGGGACTTCCTAAGATGTTTTAATTGATGATGTGTTTTGAGAAGAGAAGAGACTCTGGAGATGATCAGGCTTCCTCCCATGTCCTGGCACTGATGGATAAGGATGCCATTATGGCTTCCCTGATCTTCCGGGACCTCCTCCTGGAAACTCAGTTGACATGGAGGCAAGCACTCCCCATGGATGAAGCTGGCATCTGGTTACCCTGCCTCTCTCTGACAACTACAGTTCAATCTGGACCAACAGTCCCTCTCAGTTTTAGAATAAAGGGATTGGCCAGCTCCAGATCATGCTCTTGGCTTGGTGCTGTTGGTGATTTTCTCTGTTGTTTATGTGCGACCTATGTGGGAACCCTGGAATCAATCTGTCCCAGGAATGACATCTCCCACTCAAAGTCCCTGTCATAGCCTGCCTGGATCTGCCCACTCATGACAGAGAGGAGCTAACCTTGACCAGGACTCTTCTTGATCTTTCAAAGTACCATGTTCCTCCAGGTGGTACAGGGACTCTCCCCTAGTCTCTCTGCATCTCTTCCCATCTCAGCTCCTGCCTGGAACCCTTTTACTTGGCTTCCCTTTCCATGCCCCCCTCAAGGGAGGCTTCCCTCTCTAGCTTCTAGGCAAGTGGTTCATAACTCACTGGGCAGGAAATCTGGAAAGTCATTATAGGTAATCATTTAAGCCTGGTCTCTGGAAACCTAAACCTTACAAGACTCCTGTATGGCAGGAAGTGTTGTGATGGAGAACACATGTGGATGTTGCCTCTAATGCAGGAGTGAAATCCAACAGGACTGACAGCTGCCTTGGTAGCACAGAGTCGCACAGGAAAGCTGCCTGTTCCAAAGACTTTAGAAATAGTGTAGAATGGCGCAACGATCACCTTGGCCTTTGTCCATCTCACCCCCAGGGTGTGTGATTTTCTCCAATCTGCAGTGGACTCTGCCACACCATGCTGTGTGCCTTGAGTCACTTCCGTGGAGATTGCTGGGTGGAGACCCTTGGGAGGCCAGAGTGAGATCCCAATGAGGTCTTTCGTGTTTCTGTCTGGTTACTGGATTTTCTTCATCTTGTAGTAAGGCATACACTTTCTTTCCTGGTCTGAGAAACACTTTTTTTTTTTTTAAATCAAAGGTAGTTAGTTCAACAAAGGCCCACATTGCCTCAATCACCCCCTTCCCCTTTTCACTGGTTAGCCAATTTTGTAGGATTATGAAGTCATTCTCCCACCAATGGGAAGAGACACAGTCACCACCTGCATTCAGGATAAAAGACAGAGTCTGTCTTAGTTAATTTCTATGGCCATGACAAAAACACCATGACCAAGGCAACTTACTGAGGAAAGCATTTAAAGGGGGCTTACGGTTTCAGAGGATCCATGACCAGCACAGTGTGGAGCCTTGCAGCAGGCAGGCATGCTGCTGCGGCAGTAGTGAGAACTCACATCTTGATCCACAAGCAGGCATCAGAGAAAGACTCAGAGTGTCATGGACTTTTTGAAACCTCGTAGCCCATGTCCAGCGACACACCTCCAACAAGGACATACTTTCTAATCCTCTCCAAACAGTTCCTCCATCTGGGAGCCAAGTCTCAAACATATGAGACTATGGGGGTCATTTTTTTAAACAAAGTTTTTTTTTATTGGTTCTTTGGTAATTTAATATCATGCACCCCAATCTCACTTATTTTCCAGTCTCTCCACATCTGCCCTTCACCCTTGTAGCATCCCCCCGCAAGAAAATTTAGAAAGAAATAAAATAATTAATTAAAAAACAAACAAACAAAACCAGGAAACAAACCAATGATGGGCAAAACAAACAAACAAAAAACCACTTCCTTCCTCTGTCTTTCCTGCTTCTCCTTCACCTCTTCATCCTAGCGCCACAGGGAGCTGAGATGTATCACACAGTATACAAACAGCTTTACTTGCAAATGTTCACTGTGGAATGAGTTTTTGGTCAGGTCTTCCTCTGGCTTCTGGTTAACCATCAACACTGGACCCTCATTGATGTTCCTCTCAGATATCCTGTTGCCCTGAGTCATGGAGATCCTGAGGCTATTGTTCTGCAGGATCTCTCCCTGATATGCTGGCTTGCCCAGCCACTTGAAATAAAGCAAGTGACCCTCAGTACATGTGTGAGTCTTATTCCCTCAGGTAGATAAGAATTATTCCTAAGTCCTGCTACTTTGCAGGCATTCTTTTTATTACCCTGGATGCAGTCCTGGGAGCTGGCCTCACAGGCTGCAATACCTTTATGAACTCCAGCAGGTCCTGGATGGTGAAGATGTTAGGGTGGGCTAACCCTAGGCCTGGATGTGAGTCTGTCATGGTTGAGCTTGTCAGTCCAGGCCACCAGGGCTGCCCCCCTCAGGCAACGCAGAGCCAGCTCCCCTATGCCTATGCCAACAAGGTCAGCTCTCCCCTGCCTGTGGTGAAGGGTGGGGCCATCTCTCCTGAGTGTGCAGTACCAGCTCTCCCATGAGGTTAGGGCCAGCTCTTCTTGCTGCAGCATCCAGTGAGGGGCAGGGCCAGCTATCCCAGGGCCAGTGAAAGGCAGGGCCAGGCCAGCATGGCCCTATGATTCCAACACACATGGTTCCCATGGGCCACAGACATCAACACAGACCACAGCTACAGAAGAGCCGTGGATCCAGACATGGTCCTCAGCAGCAGCCAGGTCCAGATGTCACCATTACCTCAGGTGGCAGTGCAGGCCACCTAGATTGGCATAGCCCTAGTGGCAGCATGACCCCAGACACCAACATGGTCCCAGATCTTGAGCATCCACATGGCTTTTGATGGTAACAGGAACCTCAGATATCAACACAGACCCTAGATGCAGTAGAGCTATGGACTTTGACATGACCCTCAGTTGTAGCTCTGGCCTGGACATCACTATGGCATTGGGTAGCAGTGCAGGCCACTCAGATCTGTATGACCTGGACTATAGCATGGCCTCCAGAATCCAAGAAGGCCACTTAATTCATCTCAGAGCCTGGGCCTCCCCATGGTCCCTGGTGGCCACATGGGCCATAAACTTCAACATAGAACCTGGCTGCAGTAGGACCATGACCCAGACATGGTCAGCAGCAGCAGCTGGGGTCTGGATGTCACTATGGCCTCAGGTGATGGTGCAGACCATTCAGATCAGCATGGCCCCAGCAGTAGCATGGTCTTCAGATATCAACATGGCCCCAGGTGGTGGCACAGACCCCAGGAATCTGCATGGCCCTCATAGCCATGGACATCAACACAGATTCTGGTTGCAATAGGGCCACAGATCAGGACATGACCCTCAGCTGCAGCCCTGGCCCAGATGTCACCATGGCACTGGATAGCAGTATGTGCCACTTAGATCTGTATGGCCCCAGATGCAGCATGACCCCTGGGTACCAACATGGTCCCAAGTGGCCAATCAGACCCCAGGCAGTCACATGGCCCTTGGTTGCAACAGGGTCCATGGATGTCTCAGCTTATTCCTCACTGCCTTCACTTCTGTTCTGCCTCTTTCCACAGCACATAAATCTTTTTACTTCTCTTCCTCTCCCATTTATCCACCACATACTTGATCATCATAATGGGACCCACCCACCCAGCACC